ATGGGGACAGGGCGTGGCCTAATGAAGAAGGCGTGGTTACGGGAGGGCATGGTCCCGGGGGAAGGAAGAGGGGGCGGTCCCGGTGCTCCCAGGACGGATTTGGAGGGGGGCCGGGGGGCCTGGCCGGATCAGGCCCGACCCCTCCCATTCCCTGGGGTCTCGGGAACAAAAGCCAGAATGTCACGGGCAGTATCGGGACAGCGGGGCGACACGAGGGGACAGCGGAGGCGGGAGTGATGTCCCCCGGGGGTCCCGGGTGGGGCTGGGATCCCCACTTCCAGCTGTGGGTGCAGGCGCTGCTCTGGGCGCTGCTTTTGGGGCGCCTCCTCCACTATTGGATGGGCCAGGGCCGGGGGGAGCCGCACCGGGACCAGCCTGAGGCGGGGACACCCCAAAAACGAGGACGGAACCCCCCAAAGTGAGCCCTGATTGGGGGAGCAGAGGGACATCCCCAAAGATCCCTCCTTGTCTCCCCGAGTTCTTTTGGGGAGTCGATAAGTCGGGGGGGGGTGGTACTTCTGCCTCAGTTTCCCCCGTTCAGGGGAGGGAGGGTTTTGTCCACCCCCCCGTTCCCAGCGGGATCATTTGTCTGACTGGGCCGTACTGGGAGGGCCGGTGGGCTTCACATGTGGCCCTGGGGACATCGCCCGGCGACATCTCCGGACACGGTGAGATGGTCCGGGAGAGACGTGTGGGAGTTGTCCCTTTTGGGGTTCCCCCAGAGCCCTCCCATTCCACGGGATCCCTTTGGGGGTTCTAAATCCACTTTGAGGGGGTCCTCTGTGCTTTGGGGTGTCCCACGTCCCCTGGAGCAGTTCCATGTGCCTTTGGGGGATCTCCAGTCCCATTTGGGGTGTCCCCTGTCCCCTTTGGGGCACTCTTACTTCTCCTGGTCCCCTCAGTGTTCCCAAGGACCCCACTCTGGTGCTGTCTCTGTCCCTCTCTGTGTTTTTGGTGTCTCCCTGGTGGTTTTTGTGTCCCCACAGTCCCCAAAGCAGGGGCAGCTCTGGGCGCTGGGCACAGGGTCCCTCGGCTGGGGACAGGGACCAGAGAGGCACAAGGGACGGGGGCGGTGGGAGGAGGGGGAGATTTTGTCATGAGGGTACTGGACAGGTAAAAGGTGACACAGGGGGACATGGGGGAGACAACCCCAGCACAGAGGGGTGACAGAGGAGGGGGGTTGGGGAATGCAGGGTTTGGGGGTAGGGACGCTGGTGACATTGGGTCTGGGGAACATCGGTGTCCCTGGGGTGTCCCAGGGTGGGTGACACGTGTTCATGTCTCAGGCCTTGAGGGTCCTTTGCTGTCCCGAGCGTGGGGACTCTGGTGGCACCTTGGGGAATCCACTGATGGGATGTCCCCAGGGACTGGGAGGTGAACAGGATGTCCCCAGGATGGTGACAGTGTCCCCAGGTGTGTCCCTGTCCCTAGGTGTCACACAGGTGTCCCTGCTCTCATGTGTCCCCAGGTGCTGCAGGCAGAGCTGGGACCTTCCCCTTCCTTGGACACCTCTGGTGGCCCTTCAAGGTGTGACCCCAGTGTTCCCAAGTGTCCCCATGGCCTCGAGTGGCCTTTCCAGGTATGTCCCCAGGTGTCCCCATGTCCCCCAGGATGGTGGTCCCCAGGGTCATCCCTGTCACCCCCAGTGTGTCACCCACCCTGCCCAGGATGTCCCCAACATGTTGCTTGTCCCTCTGGGATGTTCCTGAAGTGTCCTCTGCCCCACCCAAGTTTTCCCTTGTCCCTCTAAGGCCTCTCCCATCCCTCCCAGGCTGTCCCCAAAGTGTCCCCTGCCCCCTCAGGCTGTCCCTGAGGTGTTCCATGTCCCCAGGGGGAGTCTTGAGGGTCCCAGGGAGATCCCAGGAGGGTATTGGGGGTTCCTTGGGGACCTTGGGCAGTTCCCTAGGAGGATTTGGGGTCCCTGGGGGGTATTTGGGGATATCTGGGAGGGTGGGATTTAGAGAGGTTTTGAGGAGAGTTTGAGGACTTTTCTGCCCTCCAGATTGTGCTGAGCTTCGAGGACCGGCAGGGCCTGGACTGGACCATCCAGGCCTTGACCCCCAGAGCACATGGAGGTACCTGAAATCCACAACTGGACCCCAAAAATGCACACCTGGATATAAAAAAATACATCTGAACCCCAGAATACAAACCTGAACCCAAAAATATACACTTGGAACCCAAAATTACACCTCAAAATTCTAAAAAACACCCCATAAACCCTGAACCCCCAAACGTGGAGATACTTGAAATACATCTGAACCCCAGGGGTTTGGGGGGTCCTAGAGCTGTGACCTCCATATTTGGGGTTTTCCCAGGGCTGTGACCCCCCTGTTTTTCAGCTTTTCGGGCATCTCAGGGTGGTGTTTGGGGTCCCAGGGTGGTGACTCCTCTGCTTTTGGGGTCTTGGGTTGTCCGAGGGTGATGTTTGGGGGTCCCAGGGCAGTGATTCCCGCCCCCCCCTCAAGGTGGAAGCCTCATCCATTTGTTCCCAAATGTGGGTCCCCAATACTGGGCGGGGTTCCCCAAAACCGGGGGGGTCCCCAAAACCTCTGGAGGGGGGCTCCAACCACCCAAGGCTTTGTTGTTAATCAGTTTGAGACAAATCAATAAAGTTTGGGTTAAAAATCCAGTTTGGGGATCATCTTGGAAATCTGGGGGACCTCAATGGGTTTGGGGTGTTATGATGGCTTGGGGGTGCCCTAGGATTTGGGAGGGGCTCTGTGGGTTTGGGGACTCCCAGTAGGTCAGGGAAGCCCATAGGAGTGGGGACCCCATGATTTTGGGGGAATCCCTTGGAACTGGAGGGGACTCCAATGGGTTGGGAGGGTCAATGGTTTTGGGGGTCACCCCAAAGGGTTTGGGGTGATCCCATGGATTTGGGGTGTCCGTGGCTCTGGGGAGGTTTGTGTTTGGGAGGCCCTGGAATTGGGGGTCACCCCAGTGAGTTTGAGATGACCCCATGGGTCTGGGGGAGCTCCATGGGTTTAAAGAGTCCTCTCAATTGGGGGGGACCCCATTCTGGTGGGCCCGAGGGGCGGAGATCCCAGGAGTGGACGTGGCTTCTCGTAGGGGCGTGGTGTCCCTTCACAAGGGGCGTGACCTTTCGGTTATGGGCGTAACCTTTCATATCGGGGCGTGGTTTAGCTCGACGGGCGTGTCCTAATCAACAATAGGGCGGGGCCGATGGACATCGGCGTGGCTTTTCGGCGGGGGCGTGGCTCTGTTCGGCTCGCTGGGCGTGCCCCGCTTGTGTGGGCGCGGTTT